CGGAGCCCAGCAGGTCGAGGCTGCGGGGGCCGGGAGCGGCCACTGCACTCCAGTCTGGGAGACCGAGTGAGACTCCAACTCAAAAATAAATAAATAAATAAATAAAAGATAATGACAACCCCACATGCTAGTGAGGATGCAGAGAAACTAGATCCCTCACTCACTGCTTATGGGAACCCAAATTAGTATACCCACTCTGGAAAACAGCTTGGCAGCTCCTTACAAAACTGGGCATGCAATGACCTTGCTACCCAGGAACTGTGCTCTGGCATTTATCCCAGAGGAATGAAAATTTATGTTCATATAAAACCTGTACATGAAGCTTTGTTTGTAATAGCCTCATACTCATCACCCCAAATGTCCTCCAGCAGATAAACTGCTAGGCAAATTATGGACTATCCACACCAGGGAATACTACTCAGCAATGAAAACTAATGCTACATACAATTACTTGGATGGCTATGCTGAGTGACAAAAAAATTCTCAAAAGGTTATGTAGGATATGATTACATTTCCATAACACTCATGAAATAAAGTCACAGAGATGCAAAACACAGTGTTGCCAAGGGTTAGAGATGGAAGTGGGGTAGACATAAAAAGGTAACACGTGGGAGCCTTAGGGCTCTGTATCCAAATCAACATAACATGGCATAAAAACACACACAAAGGAGTGTATGTGAAGCTGGTGAAATCTGAATAAATTCTGTAGATTGTCTCAATGTTAAATTCCTGGTTTTAATATTAGACTGTAATAGAAGACGTTACTATAGGGAGAACTGGGTGACGAGCTATAGGGGGACCTGTTTGCTTTTTTTTTTGAGTTGGAGTCCCACTCTGTTGCCCAGGTTGGAGTGCAGTGGCACACTGCCCCCGGCCATCGCAGCCTCAACCTGCTGGGCTCAGGTGATCTTTCCACCTCAGCTTTCCAAATAGCTGGAACTACAGGCACGCACCACCATGCCTGGCTAATTTTTTGATTTATTATAGAAATGAGGTCGGGGGGAGGAGGATGGGATTAACAGTAGCAAATATCTGTCTGGGGATGAGGAAACACCTCTTATCAACAGGGTGCCTGAATGAAACGTAAT